AACGCTTCCCGGCAAGCGGATTTAGACAAAAAGAAGCAGATAAAGGGCTTTCCCTGAAGAGGTACGTTCTTTGCTGCACAAATGTGATCGGAATCAGGTTCTATGGCTTAGAAAAAGCAATGAGAAAGCTCAGTGACGCAGAGAGGGCCGGAGGGCTGGGGCCGTCCAGTCCACGGAACGTCTCTCCCCTCTAGGCTGCTGGTTTGTTTGCGTGACCGCAACAGGCACAAGCTCTTCGGTCACTGGTGGCTCAGGCTGGTGTCCCCCGTTCGGTTCCTGCCGGCGGGCTCTCAACTGCGCAAGGCTGGGAGGCAGTGGGCTGGCCCCAGGGCCAGAATAAAACTGGCCGGGCAGACCAGCTCCACCTCTTCCCTCCTCCAGAAAACCCGTCCCTAGCAGTTCCCCGAGAGGCAGCGGCAGGGGAAGCGCAGTATTGCCACTGTCCACGCCGAACGTGTGCCGGAGGAGCACAGGGGAGTTTTAGCAAAGTGTTAGTCTGTTATTTTAGGAAAGCAACACAAGAGCAGCTGCCACACGTAGATGTTCTTTGCAGGACTCTAGTCATCACAGTAGATGTCTTATTGCCATTACGTCTCTTACAAAATAGCATCACTAGAAAGCTGGAACTGGAGATGAGCGATCATCGCAAGTACAAACATCGTGGCTGTACGCCATCATGTCCACAACAGGAGCAAGGGGTTTGTTTCTACCCGGAGCTGGATATTGCTGGGAAAGAAGACTCGGATTCTGTGCACATTTTTAGGAGCGGGGCATGGTTGTCTTAAAGACAGAACAGCATTAAGTCCCAGACACTAAGTCTGAGGGGAAACCAATCCCATTCACCTGGTTATGCACCAGCCCCGGAAGGTTTGTCAAGGCTTCGAGATTGTCCTTGGCGATGCTAAGTCAGTCTGGCTGGTAGTCTCTAGAGCTGCAGACACCAGATTTATTGTCTTGGGTGAGGAAGTTCGGAGCAAGCAGCATCCTGGCAGACAGTGCAGGGCAACACATGGGTGATTGTGGAGCTATCACATCAACGTCTTTTCCCTATGAATTACCAGTGTAGTTTACTTTAAAATCCAAGCGAGGCTACAGAGTCACAAGTCACAGTGGTGTTCCTAGCCAGGACTGGCTGTCACGTCACTCATACTCAACAGGAGACGATCTAGATAACTGTGCAAGGCTTTTCCTTCCAGGATTCCCCTCCACGATGCACAATAGAAAACCAGAGGGAAGTGGTGGGATTGCTTACTGGCCCCGTGAGCCGGCAGGATCCAGCTGGTTCAGCTCAGACTGATCCAGCAGTTCAAAGTCATCCCCTTCTGCATCAGTGTCCAAGTCCGAGCTAGCTGTTCTAAGATAAGTCTTTGCACCTCTCTGGGGATTGCTGCTGTGTGAGGAGCCTGGCTGAGGGGCTCCTGACAGCGCAAGCTGTATCATCCCTCTGGTGACAAAGCCGGCTATGTTGTTAGTAAGATTCTGTACAGATGGCATTGCGCCAGATTCTTCCTGGTCGTAAGGGAGATGCAGATCTTCTGTTACTTGTGGGCGGTAAGCCAGACTTGGGATCCCAATGCTGGTGTCGTCTTCATCATCTATGCCCGTTGCTTCCGGGTTTATGGAAGGGAAGTCAGGGAGATCCCTGGCAAAAGATTCTTCTGGGTCACTGTGACCATCGAGGTCTAGAAGAGGAGAAAGTGCTTTAAATACGCGGTACACGCCAAACAGCCTGCAGGCAAGGGCAGCACAGCACACAAAAGCTGGGCCATTACCTCCCCAGGACAGACTGTCCCTTGTCATCTCCCAGACCAAACGCTCTTTCATCTCCCCCTCACAGAGCTATTCAGGACGCCTGCTGACCTCCCAGTTCACTCCCAAGGAATGCAGATGCTGAACCAGACACCTTCTGCCAGAGGAAAGCACCCCCCTCCCAAACTTTGCACTGCTACCTGTATCCCTACAGCCAGAGACTGGCAGAGCTGGATCTGCCTTTGAAAAGCGGCTGTCATTGCTCTACTAAAGCACCACAGGAATTAAGAAGGAAGCTCAGTTCTGAAAAAACAGGTAGTTGCATCTCATCTTAGCCAGCAAGACAGACATCAAACAGCTAGACCTCAAGGACAGAAGGCAATGAATGCATCCTCCCTCCCACCCACCACACCAGCACCCGCTCAGCATTCCACACCTTCCAGAAACTGCCCATTTCTTCTCACCTTCTGATCCTTCTGTCAGGGGAGTCTGGCCCCTTGAAAGGTTAAATATCCCATTTTCAGTGTAGGAAACCTCAGCATCTGAATGCTCTGAGTCAGAGATGGTCAGTTCCTTGGCGACCACAGAGTCATCCAGCTTTGAAATAGGAGAGAACATCGAAAACATCAATACTGGAAAGCTGATTCCTGTGCCTCAAGACAAAACACACGATCCAGTGGCCACCAGTTAAATCCAGTCCTCATGGGAGACTGGTATCTGAGGCTCATTTCACACTTTACTGCCCAGTCTAGGAGACTGCAGTTGGTACAAGCAGCACAGGACATCTTTGAGTGAGACAGAATAGGAAAGACCTCTCTAAAAGGAGAATATCCTCATCTGATTTTCCACCACAACTCAGCTACAACGTGCTGGATACAGGGCCACGCGCTGCATGTCCACGCAATGCAGCGAGTTTGTTCTACTCAGCTGAGCTCTTCTATTTCAGAGATGCTTCATTACCTTGGGACAGAATGCGGCAAGCTCCTCTTCGCTATCGCTCCCATCATCCTCAGCCTCCTGATTAAGGGATCGGCGACGCACTGCCAGAAACCAGAGTCAAAGCTTATTATTGCTGCTAGGACAGGGGTCTGTACAGGACCAGCCTTATGCCGAGCAGAAAAACCCTAAACTGGCAAGCTTGGACATAACACAGCATGCTTTGTTCCACAGCAGAGCAACGTGATCATTTCTGACTTGGGCTGCTGCAGATCTTTTGCCGAGATGAACATGTTTAGCAGCTACTTTGCACCGAGTCCTTCCTCTTTTTTTCAGCGCAACTGCAATATGGAACAGACAGTTCTGGCAGCTGAGAAATGGAGCGGCTCAGCACCATGAAGAGCTTACAGCATCTGCTAACTGGAAGGTGCCTGTGGAGGCAGAGCTGCCTCACTTCCTTCCCAAAGCCGTTGCAAGTATTTGCCAAGGGCACTGGAGTGACTGCCATGCCACACATGCAGCCCTATCCCACTCCATGACCAGGCGCTCGATTCACAGGCTGTTTCAGGTACCAAGGGTCAGAAACACAGCACAGAAACTTACGTTGCTTCTCCCGCTGCTTTGATATCATGTAGCCTCGAACGCTGAAATCCAGCCGCTGCAGAGCTGGCTCCAGCTTCATGTACATGCGGTGCCCCAGTCTGTGGTACACAGCAAGGGGCCACAGCAGGATGAAGAGCACTGAGGTAAGTGGGAATGCTGATTAGAAATTTGTTCAGGATGCTGCTTGGCAAACATCTTGCCCATTTTGTGAAGCAGTAGAACACACACAGTATGCAAGATCTGAGTACTGAAGGCAATGATGCGGGAGGCAGTTAGAATTGGTGCAATCACTTCTGCCAATTTAACAAAATTGAGAGACCGACCTATTAGTGCTCAGATCTATAGTTACTAAGCACTCAAACATGTTCTCTCTGGACCAGAGACCTTAGAGTCCTGGTCAAGAACCACCACATTCCAGGCAGAATGTATTATTTTAAATTTTAAAGCCATTCACACAAGCTTTCCTTTTAAGCAGAAGAGCCCCATCCCTCAGACATTCAGATCCCACTCATCTCTACCCCTTTTCACTTGTAAGTCTGTATTGGCACAGAGATCTACTTACACAGCAGGTATGAGAGCAAGAGTCCAGGGATATACCGGCCCAGGACAGCCAGGAAAGTAAAGACTCCACACACTAGAAGGCAAAACTGAAGACATGGGAGACAGTGAGTTTCCAAGGTTAAGCAGGGGATTCACTCAGTTCTTGACCATCTTGTTCTCTGCAAATTCTAGGTCAAGTCAGAATTCTAACAACAGCAAAGCCTTCCTAGCTTTCAACTACCCCGCTCTAGGACTAGCACAGACACAGGAGGTATCTGGCTTCAGAGTGACAGGCAGCATACCAAGGCCTCTGCCTCAGAATATGAGGAGCTTCCCAACGCAGGTATGCTAAAAGCAAGTAAGAGGCTAAAGACAACAGAACTCTTGGAGGTGAAAAGGACAAGGAGAGTACCACTGTGTTACAGGTTCCTCTTTGCATAAGCCTCAAAAAAAGAAGAAAAAAAAAAAAAAAGCTTGACACACTTTCTCAAACTGTTAAATTCAATGAGGGAGATCAGTTTGACAGACACTTTAAAAAGCTAGAAACCTCCAGAAGGAACAGCTACATTTTCACTTCACCAGTGCAATCAACATGCCGGCACTCGTTTTCTCCTCCCTCCTCCACAACCTGATTTTTCTGCCTGTGCTTTCTATTCCTCTCCACCACTTAATAGCCACGTTGTTGTGGGAGACCTCCCATGTCTGAATGCATTCAGCCAACGCTGGATGCCACCACAAAAGGATACTAGCGGTCAGCAGAGTCTCCACACCAAACATTTTATTTGCTGAGGTCTGTACATTCTTACCTTTCCAGGGTTTTCCCTCTTGAAAATGAAGAGATTACTTAAGAAGTTGGTCCCAGCCACCCATCCTTCAGCCAAATGGTGACAGAGTTCTGGCACTCCGAGCAGCCGAGGGTGAACGTATCCCCAGCTGCAGTGAAGGGAAGAATTCGGGAACCGATATTACTGCATCGACGTCAGTGCAGAAGTCACTTGTTACAAACACTTGTCTCAGTACCACCTTCTCTTCTCCCCCAGCTGCTGGGCTCTAGAGATGAGGGTCAGCCTGCTTTTCAGAACATCACCTTGCCAAAAGCAGCATTTCTACGTACTGTTCTACAAGTTTCCCAGTTCTCCCATAGCAGCTAAGGAGCAGTAATTTCAATCATTCAGTCTTTTGGCTTAGACTAGTTTCCATGCTACTGGAGCGAAAGGGCAGTGCAGAAGCAAATCCGTTTGCTTTTTCTGCATTTATCTGGTCAGCTGCAACCCCCAAGAACTCAGCACGAGGTTTACAAGCAGCCTTGTACCTTACTTTCAGAGGCATTGTCTTTGGCAAATTCTATTAGTGCTTCTTAACTGCTAGTCACAAGTACTTGAAGGTTAGGAAGAGCAATTCCTTTTGTACTTCTGGACCTCTTGCAAAAAAGAAAAAAAAAAAAGTAATTTGGCAACAGCTCAAGTGATTTAATCAGGAGCTGAGCATCCAGCGTGGCTTGGCAGCACAGGCAGGCAGAAAGGTGTGCCCAGAGAGAGGAAGGTGTTATTAATAAGACTACACCCCAACATTTCTCAACCCATTATTAACGCTCCAGTCAGACCATAAATATGCAGTAACAACTTCTGGGACAAGCCTGTTAAATATTCCCTATGGAGTCCCAGAAGACTTCATTACTTCAAAAAAAAGTGTTCTTTTCCTGCTACTGGAAGCCCATACAAAAGGAATTGCTTTTAAGGCAGCACCTCTAACTTAAGGGTGCAGGGGGGAAGTGGCAGGGAAGTTTTACAGCACTCAAGCAAGCATTACTGGAGGTCAGTATGAGGCAAGGATTAAGTACAATATAATGGCTTGGGCAAGTCAAAAACTTGTCACAATGGCCTGACAGAGCCCAGGGCTCCATCCTCCCTCCACTAAGTAGCTCCCTTCTCCCCCGTCCTTCCTCGCTCACAAGAGCCAACATTGCAAACACGTGCAGGTAATAATTACACGGTATCACAGCAAAGTACCAAACACCACAGGATTCAATTAATTTCCTACCTCTCATTGTCTAATTCGTCAGGTCTTGCCACTAAAATATTAAGAACAGACACTGCATTAGTTGCAAGGAATTTGCCATGAGAATGCTTAGCTCTTGGAATTTAAGTAAAGCTTTAATGAGCTGGGGAATACCTGGGAAAGACATTAACTGTAATTAAGAACTGGAGACGCATCACTCCGTAACACATTTTGAACGTGTACGTGTGACAGTACAAGACTGCAAGAGAGTCTCCTTGTTGCTCCTCAATATTTGTTGGATGTTGTCTGGAAAGCTGCTCTCGTTACAGTGACGGGTATTAGCAAAAAATACCACTTTCATCTCCCTCCCTTCCCCTGTGCACACCCAGATGGTGAAGGAAGAAAAGCTTGCTTACTGAGGGGCATCAGAAATTTAAGTCTTTTAATACTTTCTCACCCAGGCTGGGATTTGAAAAGTGATCCGGGGATGTACCAGTTATCCCAACAAATTGAAATCAAGGTTATGAGGGAGCTAGACGGACACTTCCTCATCACTTCTGCTACAAAGCCTGAGCCAAGCTACTGCTAGAAACTGAGGAAAGCTTTAATGTCTTCCCAAGAACTACAGAGAACACAAGTTGAAGCAGAAAGCCGGGAGTTGTCCTTGCTAGTTAGTTAGGGAACCACCTCTGAGAGCATGCAAACCATACACGCTGCTTCAGAACCAACCTGTCCATGCAAAGCCAATGAAATCCTGAGCTGCTAAGAATGGTAGTATTCATGAGTATATTAATATCACAAATGATAGACAGAACTGCTTTGTTTACTGAAAGCTTTAAACTAACTTCATTAACAGCTGTTAAGATGTCTCTCCTTTCAAAGAAATCTCTACTCAACAGCAAGGCTGGGACTGATCTTTGTCCTAAAACATGAAGCTGGTTTATTACAGATTCTGAGGAAAAATCCAGACGTATTCCATGTATGCTTCAATTTCTTGCTCTTGTACTGAGCGCTCAGAATGTGAATCACTGCTTCAAAACCTGCACTAGTTCATGTACACCAGATGTTTCAAGATTATGGGACAAATGCCAGCGTCACAAGCGTGAAAAGCTCTTTTTATGTGTATATAGGTTAGGATTTTCCAGCTCCAGGAAGAACATGCCTACAGTGTTCTTGCCTGCTTCTAGACTCACAAAGCAAAAACTCCAGGTTTTTAACTGCTTAACTCCAGGCAGAGCAGAGCCTATATACCTCAAGGGCTAAAACCAGTGCTTCATCTGCCGGTATCAACTCAAATGTCGCAACTTACCTCCAATTTCAGGCCAGATTTTGTTCTTCCACTGATCTAGACAAACTACTACTATAAGGGTAAATGCAACCAGGAACAGCAAGCGAAGAGAAGTCAGAGCAAAAAACCTACAGGGAAGAAACAAACAAATCGGTACCGACCAGATCTGCGTGACACACACAAAAGGGATAACACAAACTAATGCAAAACAAATCAGTCAGTCAGTAACAGTTAGAGCCAGAGAAGAGTGAGCGAGTGCTTATCAGTCAGCATCCAGCCTGCCCAAGCTGCTTGGCAGGGAGCTTATTAGGCAGCTGCTGTCAGGCCGCTTTAGGGACCCTTATCTGCTCGTGTTATTTCTAGCATGACAGCCCTGCTTTACAGCTCACCCGTCAGAGGCGAGCAGAACCTGCTGCCCTTCCTCCACTGTTCACAGGACAGTCTGGGGTTTGCTAATTAGTTTTATGCTTTCAGGCAGCAGGGAAAACATGCTGAGAGGGCCAGAGCTGAAGCAGACAGCAGGTTCTTTCTTGTCTGCTGAAACAGGCCACGGACTCAAGCTCTTAGGGTAGCCACTCGGGTTCTACC